CATGATAAGGTAGTGCACATGATAAGGTACTTCACATGATAAGGTACTGAACATTATGAAGTACTGCACATTATGAGGTACTACACATTATGAGGAAATACACATTATGAGGTACTACACATTTTAAGGTACTATACATTATAAGGTACCATACATTATACGTTAATATACATTATAAGGTACAATACATTATAAGGTACTATACATTATAAGTTATTATATATATTATACGTTACTTAACTTTATACGTTACTACACATTATAAGGTACTATATATTATAAGGTATTATACATTATACGTTACTATTCATTAAAAGGTACTATACATTATAAAGTACTATACATTATAAGTTGCTATACATTATACGTTATTATACATTATAAGATACTATTTATTACACGTTACTATACATTATAAGGTACTATTTATTATACGTTAATATACATTATAAGATACTATACATTTTACTGTACTATACATTATAAGGTACTATACATTATAATGTATTATACGTTACTATACATTATAAGTTACTATACATTATACGTTGCTATACATTATACGTTGTTATACATTATACGTTATTATACATTATAAAATACTGTAAATTATACGTTACTATACATTATAAGGTACTCTACATTATAAGGTACTATACGTTATAATTTATTATGCATTATACGTTACCATACATTATAAGGTACTATACACTATAAAGTACTATACATTATACGTTGCTATACATTATAAGGTTATATACATTATAAGGTACTATACATTATAAGGTACTATACATTTTACGTTAATATACATTATAAGATACTATACATTTTAACGTACTATACATTATCAGGTATTATACATTATAAGGTACTATACATTATAAGGTATTATACGTTACTATACATTATAAGGTACTATACATTATACGTTGCTATACATTATACGTTGCTATACATTATACGTTATTATACATTATAAGATACTGTTAATTATATGTTACTATACATTATAAGATACTATACATTATAAGGTATTATACGTTATAATTTTTTATGCATTATACGTTACCATACATTATAAGGTACTATACACTATAAAGTACTATACATTATACGTTGCTATACATTATAAGGTACTATACATTATAAGGTGCTATACATTATACGTTACCATACATTATACGTTACTATACATTATAAGGTACTATACATTATACGTTACTATACATTATACGTTACTACACATTATAAGGTACTATACATTATAAGGTACTATGCGTTATAAGGTATTATGCATTATACGTTACTATACATTATAAGGTACTATAATTTATAAAGTACTATACATTATACGTTGCTATACATTATAAGGTGCTATACATTATAAGGTACTATACATTATAAGGTACTATACATTATACGTTACTATACATTATACGTTACTATACATTATAAGGTACTGTACATTATACGTTACTATACATTATAAGGTACTATACATTTTACCTTACTATACATTATACGTTTCTACACATTATTAGGTACTATACATTATACGTTACTATACATTATACGTTGCTATACACTATACGTTAATATACATTATAAGGTACTATACATTATACGTTACTATACATTATTATACATTATATGTTACTACACATTATAAGGTACTATACATTATACGTTACTATACATTATAAAGTACTATACAGTATATGTTACTATACATTATGCGTTACAATACATTATAAGTTACTATACATTATACGCCAATTCTCGCATAATCAAGAACATTATATATATTTTTTAAAATGTTACTTTGATTTAAATAGATTTTTGAAATACTTACAATCTTCAATATACCAAAGAGGTTGTGGTACGTTTTAGAGCTACTTACATCCCACAGTGTTCATTGTATGTAATGTAATTAGCGGAACAGCCCAATTTTTTTTTCTTTTAAATACATAGGTCATACAGAACCTTTTGATTGCACATTGACATATTTCCAAGAACTAAGATGTCAATAATAATTTGAATCTGCAAATGTTTTTTTTTTCTTTTTGTTCGTTAAGACTTTCTTAATATACTACCACACCATTTAATGATTAACAATGATTTAAGAGAGAATGCAGAGAACTGTAATGTAAATAAACTCAAATTTAAACCAAAAAAAACAAAAAAAACAACAGGCCATCAGAATTGCAGCAAATATATCATCAGCATGGGATGATGTTTTCACGCGGGCATTGACTTTAGAAGACCCTGAAGGAAGGTATGAGGCAAAGACACCGAGCTATACAATGGCTGTTCAAAAGGGAACTTTGGAAGACATAAAGAACAGTTCAATGTACCACAAACCGCTGGGCTTTACTTTTGACAATGCTCAAGTTGACAGTGAAAGGTTAACTGCGATTCATCTTCAGGTAAAAAAAAAAATGGATACCTTTCTTGTTGTGAAAAATGTTATCGAAAAGCCGTTCTTTTTCATCATATTTTTTGTTTCACATGTTTTATGTCTTTGTTCTCTTCTTTATATTCTTCACCTTTTTTGGAAATATTGTAGCCGTCTTGGTAATTTTCAAGATGGGAGTTAGAAATGTCTTATTAATTGGCAGGCTGTTAGGAGCTCTAACATTTACCATGACGGTCTACATTCTGAATATGTGAAAACTGTTGTGACTGCATCCGCAGTGGTTGAGAATGGAACAAAATTGAAATTGACCAATCCTACCATAATCCATGAGACAGCTGACAGCAACTGCAGTGTGGAAGAAAATTTTGATGTCCAGCCTGCCAAGTTCATTGCAGAAGATGCATCTCAGATGTTTTATCACACAATGAATTATCCGTGAGTCAATGAAAAGAATACTATTTATATAGCTTTACATGTATTGTTGTGTGCTGCCAAATTCTTTGAAATTAAAAAAAAAATTAATATTTATTCTTACCTGATCTACCATACAGTGCAATTAGAAACTGTAATCTTAAAAGCGATTGATGATTCAAATATTTTCCTGATTCTCAAATTTGCAATTTCAGTGAAACGTTTCTCCAACTGTGCTTTAAAATACGACCAACAAATCCAGAATTAAAATACACATTGTATGCAAGGATGAATAAGGAGCCGTCTGATATTATTTATGACCACAAGTATGTAGTATTTGCATAAGTATCTGTTGAAATGTAACGATTTTGTTTCCCAATCATTCAGGTGTGGGGAGATAATCTATTAAAGTTATATTATGTAATATCCTTGCTAAAATAAACAATTACATTATTCAAAGAATAAGAAATTTATTGATTGATGAAAATTCTCAAATAATGAGTTCTCAAATTGACATTGGTTTAAAAAAAGGGAGGTAATAGTTCAAATTCATTGTTCAGATAAAACCATTGATTTTGCATAATTTTTAGCCTGTATTTTGTTATAGAATCCGTTTAACCAAAGAAATGCAACAGTCTTGTGGAGAAGCTTGTTTTCCTCCAGGAACATTTACAAAAACTGGACTGCTATACATCGGATTAAAACCTGAACTAGGTAAGTAGACAGGATTCAGTGTTTAATTGGATGTTGGTACAGAGAAGCCTCGGCTCAGTGACTCATGCACTTCTGTTTATCACCATAAGGATTAACACTTTAATTAATTTATTGTTAATTCGAATATATAATTTTAATTAATTATTAATTAAAGTTGAAATAGTATGTTGTTAAGAGCAGACGTCACTGATAAAAAAAGTAAATTTTGTGTTTTAACAGTTCAATAACATTACAGTTCTCTGCATTTTTTTCTTTAACAAAACCACATTGATCATCAATATTTTGTTCAAACTCATTTTTTCAATTTTTTTTTACAAGGCTGTACATAACATTAGAAAGTTATTTCCACAGTTGAAGTTTATCAAGCAAACCAAGCCACAGGGAAGAAAAAGAGAGAAGGTAACTGTTTTGTTCTCATGAAATTCGTGATGATAATCCAAGTAATCAGCTTGTAATTTTAATAAGGGTCATCTAGGTGAATGATTAGTTTTTAAGCTGGATAAGTTAATTTACACTTCTTTTTTTCTATAAAATCAAATATAACATAAAAACATGTCTTTCCAGCAAGCTATCATCAGAACTTAGAATCGCCATACGCCTTGGCTGTGACCGCAGCACAATGCTTGAGTTTTAATAAACTAAATGGTGTTTGGGATACACATGTCTGCAAGGTAAGTTAGCTGTCGTTATTTGCACAGTGGTACAAATGTAGTCTACACAAATAATTGGACGGTATGTTAAAAAGGTGTCATCCGACATGTGATCAAACTTAAATGATCAGACATTCCAAAGCCAGGCAATCATTAGTTTAGGGAAGACAATGAATTTATAGAACCACTGCTTATCATATATATGACATAGTGTAACTGCTTCAAAGCAGACTTTGACTATAGCATAAAGCAATGCACTGATTAAGGAAACATCGTTAAAATGAATCCATTTCCCTTTACAAACTTCCTGTTGACTTTATAGGGCAAGAAAAGCAACTTTAAAAAAAAATTTTGGTTTGGTTCTGTGTGGTTTAGTTTTTGTACCATATACGACCTCTGATATTTCTCGGTAAAAACAAAAACGCAGAGATGAATTTTCTTTTGATATGCCACCCATTCTCAAGGGGTGGGGGCTTGAATGGTAATCAAATGTTATCAATGTAGGCTGCTAGTAGGTAAGTCAATTCAGACCAATTTTTTTAATTGGAACTGATTTTCTTTTTTTACTGTTAAACATTTATAGTGGTATATATTGCTTTAAATGAGTTGAAACGATTTATTTGAAATGTTTGGGATAGTGGATAAAAAATAATTAACTAATCGTTTTATCTTAATGACACAAAAAGTTGGCACCAAAACACTGTTTTCTTCAATTTTCTATTTTATTTGCTCCTATAATAAAAGAGTTTACCGATGTTTACTTGAATTCTATTCACAATACACATGCTATAAATTTGAATCCACAGATGACAAAATCAAATGGAAGCACACTTTGCACATGTAATGATGGCACAGAAATCATCAATGGCTTATCCTTCAGTTTTGTACCCAACACCATTCACTTTGGCACAGTTTTCAGCAAGTTTGATATAAAAGGTCAAGGCCTTCTCATCGGCGTGCTTCTTGGACTCTACTTGATTTTCACCATTATTTGTTTGTGGGCTCATTATAAAGACAGAAAAGGGATGCTGCAGGTACGAGAATTGAAATTACACAGCATATTTTATTTTTGAACTAAATAAAATTATGTTGTCAGTGGTATTTAAAATTCCCACCTTTCCCTCTAATAGCACATTTTAAATTTCAATATTTTCTTCATATATCAATGGAAAAATATGTTGGGTTTTCTCTTTGTTTTTACTTCTTATTGAGATTGAATTTCTAGAATATTTGGATGACCAATTTATATGAATCAGTTTCCAATTGGTAGGCGTATCTATAATTTAGCTAAAAGCTTTTAAAAAACATTGACTAAGAAGATTATAATTTATGATTTGATGAAAATTTATATTTGTTTGATAAGATCCACATTTTATTTCACGAATTTTTTCCCCAGTGGGGTGTTTTCCCCCTTGCAGACAACTATGCTGATGATAATTATTACTACCTTGTGACGGTCCACACTGGATTAAGGAAATCTGCTGGCACAAAGTCTGAAGTCAGCTTCTGCTTATATGGAGAGGAGGATGAGACAGGGGTCAGAATATTGTCAGATGGGGTTAAAGAGGTGAGGTGGAACTAATGGTAAACTATCAATTTATACTCTTTTTCGCTAATTACAAAAAAAATAGAAAATCATTAAATTATTCGAGACACCATGTAAGCATTTAGACAATTTTATCAGTGTCTTGGAGTAGCAGTCTTCAAGGAAATTGATTGTAAGATGATAAGAGTTGAACTATTTTTAACACAATATCTCACCTTCATTTGCGTTTCACTTTGTATGATAAATTTTAAGACCTAAAAAAGACCCCCCCCCCATTTTCATCTTTTTATCGAATTTTCGTTTACAACCAGTATGTAGTAAGTGACACATTGGTTGAACAGGTGCATCAACTTGATTTATAGCGTTGATTATGTATGGGTTGTATGTTGCTGCAACTGAATGTTTGAGAAACTGTCTTATCTCCTTTTTGATTAATGTAAAAAAAAAAAAAACAATTCTAATTATTTATAACTATTAGTTGTAACGCTCCAGACGGAGCTGAAGGTAACATAAACATACTTTAAAATAAGATAGTCCTCACCAGAGTTTTTTATTTTATTTTCTGATTTTGAAGAAACCCTCCCTTTTATCCAGCGTTTTCCAACAGGAAGTATTTGCAATCTGGTCATGGCGTGTCCGTCAACTTTAGGAGACCTGCAGTGCTTGAGAATATGGCACGATGGCTCAGGCGAGGGAAACTGGGCTAACTGGTATCTGGACCGTGTGGATGTTATTGATATTCAGACTGGTCGAGCGTAAGCAGATTATGTTTATTTGCGGTCAATTCTGTGTAATCGTTCCTTGAATAGGCCTATTGATCTGGTCTTTTTATTTTCATCTTCTGGTTTTCAAGCAAACTTTGCAATTTAAATTATCATTTTATATGTTATCTTTATCAATCTTTTCTAGAGATATTTTAGGTGCTATTTTATGGAATGCTCTCCTATTTATTTGTTTCAAAAATAGAAATTATTTCTTATGTGAGGAGTGGTTAACTCCAGAAGTCAATTCAGTGGAGAAAATGATTCAGGCCACAAGCAAGGAAAGTTTGGAGACATTAGGCAGCTTGTTTTCTTCTAATATTAAGCAGCACATTACTGATGACCACATGTGGGTATCACTCTTCATTAGACCGCAGAGAAGTCGATTCAGGTATGTGTGTATATACATTTATATATATATATATATATATATATATATATATATAGAGAGAGAGAGAGATATAGATATAGATATAGATAGATAATGCGTACAGAATAGGAATTGCAAGTCAAACAGGCTCAGCTCATTGCAAGTCAAACAGGCTCAGCTCATTGCAAGTCAAACAGGCTCAGCTCATTGCAAGTCAAACAGGCTCAGCCCAGACATAAAAATATGTTCTATTTCAGCCGTGTTGAACGAGCTGGGTGCTGCTTGGCTTTCCTATTTTTGGCTATGATTACAAGTGCTATGTTTTACAATGGGGCTCCTGATATTGACAGGAAGAGACCAAAAGTAGACTTTGAAATAGGACCTTTAAAAATAAGTTTACAACAGGTAAAGTTAATTTGTTACAAATTTAAAAAAATAAACAACCAAAATTAATTAAAAATAATAGCTCTAGCTAGCCTGGAGAACACTTTGGAATTGTAAATCTTAAAAAAAAATAAAAAATTTAAATATGTTTCTTTTATTAATGACATTATGAAAAAAATAATACAATATTCATAGCTTAAGAATATTCACTAAAATAGAAAAGTCAATGTTTTATAAAGCCACAAGAAATTTAAAAAAAAATAAATATTACATTTTAAGTATATGAAAACGTTAGTTTTTATGTGCTTTGCTTTTATCGTAAATCCTAAAATTTTATCTCGTGGATCTCACTTCAAGAATATTAGTGGCAGTGAATGGTTTATTTCCAGATCTACTATTCACTGGCATCAGCCGTCATCACTGCTGTTCCAATGTTGGTTGTCATGGCAGTTTTTAAAAAGGCGAGGACTAGGGCGGAAAGTGAAAGTGAAATCAATGACGCTCAAAGAAATGTTTCCAAGAAAGGTTCGGATTTCACAGATTAGAAAAAAAATGTCATCTTGCGTTATTAACATTGACGAAGCTCTTTTAAGCAAACTGAAGGTTATTTTACAGATTGAATTTAAACCACCAGTTGACACCGTTGACATATAATATTTTGTAAATATGAAGAGAAAAATACTTTCATTGATTACATTTATTGAAAAATATTAATTTGCGTAAATATAATTGAAATTTCTGATGTAGAGTACACCACGTAAGTTTGAGAATTTTTTTCTAAAAAAATCCATTGTTTGATTGCAAGGGGAACGATCAAAAGGTTGTCATTTGCCATGGATGGCAAAGTTGGAGAGTCAGTTACAAAGCCTGGAGAAAATACTGTTGATAAGACCAGGTAAATTGTCGTATCACAAAAATGTGACCATTTTAAGATAACAATAGTTTGTTTTTTTAAACCCACCAATCAGTTGCGTACCAATTATTAAAATCTGTCGTGAATTAAATTCTATCTTGTCATAAGCCTTAAATCCCCTGGCACTTTTGGACATTTGAGATGTCCTTAGTGAAAAATAACAGTTAACATATACTCTATCCAAAAAATGTACTTCTAACGTTCATTTTGTGGGATACCATCCTCTGAACACTGTGACCGCTCTTAAGGGTGATTTTTAAAGGGTTTTTGTCTTTTTTTTTTGCGTACTTAGAATGTTTCTTAATATGTATTTCCCAATTGAACCGGTAGGTTTGCCTGAAATTGATTGTGTGATTTCATTTTCATAGTTATTAACTAATTTTTTTTTTAAATTGTTCAATTTAGTGAATGCATATAGCCTCCCCTCTTCAAATAACACAATAATGAACTAAAACAGGCATACTTGAAAGACTCTCATTCAAAAGTACCTTGATCATCACTTTACTATATTATTGGAATTAAAATATATATTAAGTACTTACGTTTTGTCAAGATCATTAGTTAAAATTTATACTGTATACACATCTTTTAGAACATTGTGTACATGTATTTTTTTTTAAGGTGCTGCAGAGCTAAAAGGTACATGGCCCAGGAGATTGCGATATTTTGCTTGGATTTTAATCGTAATCACTATTGGCGCAAGCAACTTTTTTGTGATTCTCTACAGCATGGAGTGGGGCAAAGACGTTACCGAGGAGTGGTTATCTACCTTTTTTCTGTCTTTTTTGCAATCGTTGTTTGTGGTGGACCCGGTCAAGGTATGCGATCTTGTTTTCATTATGTATATCATGGATTACCACGTTTAACATGATTCCACGTATCGTGCAAACCCGTAAACATTGTTTGAAAAAAATAGCGTAAAGGCCATACTAATCTTTAATGTCACCTGTTCATCCTGTCGTTATCAGTAAAGCGGATACATTTTTATTATTGGATAATAAAATTGCCATAGCTCTATCTATAATCATAATTCTGGAGTGGACATCGTCTCCCCACCTCAAGAAAGGTTTAACCCCTTTCAAATAATTTTTGCAGCTTAAGTCCATCCAAAAAAACATAAATCTTTGGCAGTAAAACATGTCGTATTATTTTTATTGTCTGTATTCATTTCATCCTTTTGTTTTGCATTGTACTGTTAGCGATACCCGACCAAAAAGTTTCTGTGTGTGTTTGGGGGGGGGGGGGAGGAGGATTCAGCCACTGCTGTATCTAAAAACCATTCATTTCATCCTTTTGTTTTGCATTGTACTGTTAGCGATACCCGACCAAAAAGTTTCTGTGTGTGTTTGGGGGGGGGGGAAGGAGGATTCCGATGGCGTTCCATTGAGCCATTAATGCGTAGTGGAGTAACCACAAGTCGCCACACATCACGGTGGGTAACGATATGTTCTTGTTGGTACTTTTGGTGCGTACGTGAATAAGCGCACGATTTTTATAGGCAATGCACCGCTTCCCGTATCTTATAAGCGGAACGAGGTGGTATCGTCTCAGCTAGTATCATATACAAAAATTAACAGTGGCCACACCATTAAAGCTATGACGATTTCACTTTAAAGTGGGGTGGTGTGTGGGGCTACTTGCTGTACTTGTGTTATGCGGAGATACTATGAGCACTCAGTCACTGAATGCGAGTGGGCCAATATTCAGATGCGTAGGTATTGACATACTATATTGCTACCACTGCTTACATGACCTGGCGCCGTCCTATCTGAAAGAGCTGCTGACGCCTTATGTACCCAGTAGAGAGCTCCGCTCATCCGATAGTGGCAAACTCTCGACACCACGTGTTTGCCTTGAGACTTACGGAAAGCGCACTTTCGCATTTGCTGGTCCAACAATTTGGAACGCCCTTCCTGTCGATCTTAGAAACAACCAGACACTGGAGTCCTTTAAAACAGATCTAAAGACACATCTATTTCGCAAATACCTTCTGGGATGATTGTCTACCTTATTTTCCATGTGTTGCTGTGTTGCTCCGGGTTGAAATGGCTAGAAAGACTTTGATATTGTATGCTTGTAATTAGTTTTTGTAGTGTTGTGTTTGTTTTAAATGTGGTGAATTATAGATATGTTTTTTGTTGACTTTGTACCGCGCTTCGAGCCTTTGGGGATGAAGCGTGTTTTTTAAATGAACTTTATTATTATTATTATTATTATATGTGTAAGTGTAATGAAAACAAAATCTTAAAATTTGTTATAATGCGCTCTTCTTCTTTAAGAAGCATTTTTTTTTACCTAATATTACTTGCATTAATAGCGTTAATATACGGTATTTAATTTTTTCATACTGATCTTACTTCACCCAAACTAAGTAAATTTCAAATACGTTTGATTTAAATTAATGTCAGCAGTTTATATCATAATTAAAATAAAATATTTTTATTATCAAAAGGCCAAAAGACATTTTCTACTCGTTTAAAAGAAAAACTTAAAACGTCTTATTTGTAATATTTATTAAATTGTTTTCCAAAACTGTTTTATGTTTTTTTTTTCTGTTAAGTTAGCGTCGCCTTGTTTATTCCCACATTTCAATAAAATAACTTAAACCCAACATTTCAGGTGCTGGTGATATCTGTTATGGTCTCTGTCTTTATGAAGAAAGCAAATGTAAAAGGTTTGGATGCACTGAATCTTGATCTCATTTCTCAAGTTAACAGAGAATATGGCGTTAAACATAGTAAGTTTGTTATGATTAAGAAGCGTATTTCTTAATATAATGAAGCTGTTATAAAAAAAATGTTCCCACAATAGATGAGCTACGTTCAAATTTTTGTAAAACAGATTAGCTTTCCCGGGATCGTCGCCTACGTTTAACAAGTTGGGTTGGTCCAAAATTAATGTTTGTTATTTCTAAACTCGACTCCAGTAAGTTAATTAGCTCATATAGGAAGAAAAAAAACACGACATTTTAGACCCCTGCCCAAAACACAATCTTATGAAAAGTTCGAAACCCATGAAGACTTTCTTCCGGATAATGATAGATATATGTGCCAAGTTCGATCGAGATCCATCAATTAATGTAAAAGCCTTTCTGGAACAAACCCACAAACAAATTTTCAGTTTCATAAATATTATATGATAACATTTTAACTGACTCATTATTTTGCATTTCTGCGAATTCTCCTTCATGCTGCATATTTGAAATATCAGACAAATCGACCAACATTGGCTGCATCATCAAAATTGGTCAATCAATTTGTTTCAAATCAGAAAAATGTTTCTTTTAAATCAGCCGATATAATTTTCAGATTATCGACTATAACAAGTATAGCGGTATCAGTCATTTCACATTTTTGGAGCCAATGAAATTTTTCAAAATTTTTGTTGTAAATATTTTTCGGACATAATCCTATAAATTTTATTTAAGAAACATCTTCGCTTTTGCATCGACAAGAATTTTATTTGTTCCTTAAAGTTGTTATTAAATATATTAAGATTTCAAAGATAATGGTTATATAACTCACAATGCTTTACCATCGACCGTTAACAGATACTTCATATCAGGTTGGTCACTTTAAAAAAACTGCAAGGGTATCAAATAGCTCCATAAATCTGTTCAAGCAGTTCCCTTTCTCAAGCCATCTTACTTCAGTGTGAGGTAAAAGTATCACGTAGTCTGCAGTTTGTTCTTCACAAAACTTGAAGAGACGTTCACATTTGGCATTAGTTTTTATTAGCATTGATGCACTTTATGACTGAATTTAGTACTTCATTTAGAACAGGTGAAATGTGTTAGCTCCTAAGTTTTCCCTGTGAATAACATAATGCACAAGTAATATTTCTGGATTTTCATCTTCAATCAATTTTAAGCAGCCATTTTTCTTGCCCATCATTTTAGGAGCACCATCTAGAGCACAAGATGTTATATTTTTTCATGGGTATATTATTGACATCTAAGTAATGTTTAATTATTATATATATATTCTTGATGAAAGTGTTGCTTTCTAATGATTCACAGAAAAACATTTCTTAAGCAAAATGCCCTTTATCAATATATATTATTTTAAGTTATCAATACGGCCTCACTTTCTCTCAAAGTTGATGAATCCATGTGCAGTGAGAATTTTCTTGTTTTCAGCTTCTCAACAAGTTGTATTTCAACATCTTCACTCATTTCGAATATTCTTCTGCTAAAAGTATTGTTACTGAGTGGCATAGCTTTTACGTCTTTCTAGTCTTTTTCCAAAACTGTTTTAAGAAAAGCTGATATTTTAGGTTTGATTTAATTCTCTCCTATATTATGATTTTTCCCAGATTTAGCAATGGGTATGGACATTTGATAACTAGCATTAAGAATACGATAGACAGTTGCAGTGTGAGCAGAAAATAGAGACTTAAATGTTGCTAATTTTTCTCAAAATACAAGTTAAATTTTAGTAGACGTTTGGTTTTCAAATTCTTGACACACATTTTCCTGTTGCCCAGACATAAGTTTTTTTAAGCTTAAAAGGTCCATATCAATATAAAAAGATCTAGTTCGTTGGCTAACATAAAACTTTAAATATGTTTTAGCCATTTTAATTTATCAGCTATTAAATTAATGTATGCCAAAACATTTTTCAGAACCTGAAATTGATCGTGTTTATAACACTTACATGACGACGCTCTCAAAAGCAGAGCTCAAAGCTGCTACGATGAAGAGAAAACTTCATGTAATGATAAGAAATACACTGAAAGAATTTCTTATTCATTTTTTCTACCTCCTCGTTGTGTGCAGTCTTTGCTATTCCAATCGCAGTGATGGTGATCATCTCATATACAATGTGATTTCCGATGCTATTATTGAGAGTACAGCAAATAAAACTGGATTTCACGACGTAAGTAAATCCCTTTTTTTCTGGGAACATAATTCCCAATATTATCTAACTGGTTTAAAAAATTTAAGAATAAAAAAATGCTGTATGCATTTAATTTTATTTCTTCTTTTAGGTCATCTCAAGTAGTGATTACTTTGGCTGGCTTAATTCAACTTTGAGACCATGGCTGTTTCCAGGAAATACTAAGATGTATGAGCCGAGTGCTGCAGATAAGATATATTACACCGAGGAAATGAACCTCTATCGCCTTGGTGAACCAAGAATAAGACAGCTTCGAATGAAGAAAGGTTTCAAATGATTTTTGCTTCTTCTTTTTGTTACCTATTGTATTGTATGCCATATAAAGGAAATTAAATAAAAACTAGTTTCATCACAGCCTTCTAAGAGGTGGATTCTATCCTACATTATTTCAAATATATCTATTGAAATGATTTTGTTTCATCTTGTCAAGTGTTATTTTGGAAAATATTAGAAAATTGTGGAACTTTCTTTATAAGCACCAGAAACTACCAAATGTTGACTTTTTTTTTTTTTTTTTTTTTTTTTTTTTTTTTTTTTTTTTTTTTTTTTTTTATTTTTTGATTTTTATTTTTTATTTTTTTTTAATCACAGCCTTCTAAGAGGTGGATTCTATCCTACATTATTTCAAATATATCTATTGAAATGATTTTGTTTCATCTTGTCAAGTGTTATTTTGGAAAATATTAGAAAATTGTGGAACTCTCTTTATAAGCACCAGAAACTACCAAATGTTGACTTTTTTTTTTTTTTTTCTTTTTTTTTTTTTTTTTTTTTTTTTTTTTTTTTTTTTTTTTTTTTTTTTTTTTTTTTTTTTTTTTTTTTTTTTTTTTTTTTTTTTTAAGAAGTCAATTTTGAAAATGTAAATTTACAGATCTTTTCAAATCTATGAAAAGGATTCCCTTAATATTGTTAGTCTGTATCGAAAAATAAGAGTGTTATGTTTTTCTATGTTTTAATTTCCAACAATAAACATTAACATAACTATCATACATAAAATACAAGTTCTCAATAATGTTGACTCTATGCTTGATCACGGAAGACACTGTTCATTCCGTATCCGGAAATTTGATATAAAGAAATTTCGTCGACGGTAAATTGGTCGACGGTAATATGATGGAACGGAAATTTGGTCGAATCTTCTTTGCAAATTTTACGTTACAATTTTGCATCAAATTTCTTTTTGAACGAATTATTTTGTTTTACTAAATAGTACAGGGCGTTCAAAAAGAAATTTGACGAAAATTTTAACGTGCGAACGGAAAAAAAGATTCGACCAAATTTCCGTTCGATCAAATTACCGTCGATCAATTTACCGTCGACGAAATTTCTTTCGATCAAATTTCCGGTAATCTGTTCATTCACATTCTCTCTCTCTGACTACTATCTGCGTATGCGCTGTTTGACCTAGTTGGCTATCAGGACCGTCTAGTCCGCTAGTCCATGATAACAAAGAGGCATACACTTTTTTTAAAATAGTTTAAAATAATATAGCAGTTTCTTGGATCCTACAACAGTTGCTCTGGAAGTGTAATTGTTTTGTTTCATTTAAACTAAGGAAAACTAACACCACGTCCTACGATTTGTTAGCTGGACGGCTTTTATTTTTTCAACCTTTTTTTTTCAACAAATAAGACTTTTGACAAAATATAAATTGTTGTTTTTGTTTATTGTTTCTAAAGATGACAAGGAACTACAGTGTCAGAACAAAGTCACGATATAACAGATTTAATAAAACTACATTTCAGAGGACTGCTTATATGAAGGAATCAAGAGCCACAAGTGTATTGCAGGATATGATGTCACTAATGAGGAAACTGGAAATTATTGTCTGGGATGGTCTCCCCTGCCATGCACGCATGTTCAGACTTTTAGTTGGTCCAGTAAATCCTGGAGTTTTCAGTCCGCGAAATCCATTTGGGGAATCCCCATAGCTGGTAGTTACAGTCTGTATGGAGGTGGAGGTTATCTCATAGCTTTTGATCAAAATGTGAGTTGACATTAATATGATAGTCATATTACCTTAAGCTATGAACTGGCGGGACTAAGAGTTCAAACAACTTTATAACTTAATTTCATTTTTTTTAAAATCTGTTAATTGAAATAAAATGAATACTTTTATTTTTAAATTTAACGGTTTACTTAATGTATGTATACTACTTAATGAATACACCTTTACTAAATTTAGACTATACACAACATTATAAATGAGTTCGAAGAACACACGTGGATCGACCGACAAACTAGAGCCATTTTTGTTGAGTTCACAATCTATTGCCCAAACATCAACCATTTCGCATATGTGATACTTCTGGCAGAGTTCATAGATACTGGGGGAATTTTACCATTTTCAAAGTGAGTATCGGGCCATTGCATAATTACGTGTTATGTCCATAAGCAATCCATTAAACTGAGCAGCGTTGCTTGTGGAGATGAATTATAAAAGAAACTCACTTACATAACATGGCTATCATACTCTTTAACATTCCAACATTTGATGTTTACTGCAAAGACCCCATAAAGTATCTATCGGAAGACACGTAATCAGTGCAAGTTTAAAAATTGTGTCAGAGTTCTCACTGGTTTTAAAATTTAGTATGAGTTAAAATGTTACAAACTCTAACAATGAATTAGTGGGTTTTTTTAGATAAATTTTATACGAGTATTTACAATCATGAGGGGTGGGGGTTGATGTAGATGAGAGAGGAAATGTCAGAAATGTAGATATGTCCTCGATATTAAACAATAAATTCTAAAATTTAAGTTGAGTGACTTGGAAATCTCTCTTCATTTCAATATTAATAAGTTAAATAATATAAAAAGAAATAAACAAACTAATCTGTAAAAGAAAAATCTGCATATGAACATGATGTGTATTAATAGAACAAAATCTTCTTAAATTTCAGCATTTACCCATTCACTGTCCACCATCCTCCTGGAGTTCTTGGTGCGTATTTTCAATTGTGTGAAATAATTGGCATTATCTTTACACTGGTTGGTGTGCTCTATGCTATTTTTATCTTTGGAAAGAAAAAGTGGGCAGCACTTAAGGACCTGTGGTTTGTGATGGATTTGTCTGCTGTTCTTGTAGGGATTTGTGCAGCTTCTATGTTGTTGTAAGTATGTCATTATATGGTAATTTTTATTTTTACTATGTAGATAGAGTTATTTATTAGAGCTTTATTTTTTTTATCATCTGATTTAAGTTTCAAATATTTTATTTTGCATTCTTCTAGAAAATGGGTTTACATTGAAATCTACCACAAATTTGTTAAAGTTGTTCTGCTATATTGATATAAAAGAAATTATTAACATCGTTCATTTTTCATATATAATCCTTTGTAAAAATTATGTTTTTCTGATAAAATATGCAATTTAGCTTGCGTCTGAGCTACACTAAAAGTGCAATAGCAAAAGTAAAAGCAGAAAATCAAAAATTTGTTAACTTCTACCAAGTTGTGGTCTGGGATGCCTCTTTGATGCTCTGCCTATCATTGCTGATTGTTATTGGTTGTTTGAGACTGCTAAAGCTGGCTGGCTACTCTGAGAGAACCATGAAAGTAAGTCAACGTAAACTGCTGAATAAAAAAAAAACACAATTGTATCGTTAAAACTGCATATCAAAGAGTTAACAATTTATTTAAAATTCAGTCTAAACGTAGATAAAAACTCAACCCAATTGCAATGTTTAAATGTACGTTATTTTCTTACTTTCTGGTTCTGGTTCTGGTAATGTTTCGTTGCTGCATCCATGTACTGGCATCTTTGCAACGGTTGGAGATATAATGTTGCTATTCTAACTGCTCCTAGCTGATGCCAGGGCAGCCTTGAAGCTTTCGACCGATGTCGAGTTCACAGGGGCATCGTTCAGGTGGTACCATGCTATTATTGTGCGTGGGAAGAAAGAGTGTTGATACTGCAATGTGTTGTACTGAGGCACTTTGAAGCTTTCTCTTTTGTTTCTGGTGTAATTGTTATGGGAATATCAGTGGTGAAGTCAATGTTCAAGGAGCGTTTTGCTCTGATCAGTCTACCCGGCTTCTGTCGGGTGAGGTACGTGGCTGCTGGGATGGCTAGCACCAGTCTTTGATCACTTTATATAAAAATATCAGGCGGAGTCCCTCTCGTCTGTCTTTCAGGGGAGGGAGGTGTCAAATCTTTTTAAGAGGCCAGTGACGAGCCCGGAGTGGTCGATTTGTAGTCTCGAGCCATAAAACTCACCGCTTTACGTTGAATTGGCTCCATCGTGTCCACGTCTTGCTTAAGGTGTGGGTCCCAGATGATCGCACCATACTCCAGTAGTGGACGGACGTGTGCGAGATAGGCATTTCGTTTGAAGGAAGTTGGGCAGTGGCGCAGATTTCTTCGGATGAAA